TTTGTGTATACGTGCGTGCGCGCGCGTGCGTTGCGTGCGTGGTGTGTGTTGTGTGTGTGTGTGGCTGTGTGTGCGCGGCGCGGTGCCGTGCGTGCGTGCGGCCCGTGGTGTGTGTGATGTGTGTGTGTGTGGTGTGTGTGTGTGTGTGTGGTGTGTGTGTGTGTGTGTGTGTGCTGCATTTGTGCTATACGTGCCAGTTGTGTGCGCCGCGCGCCGATGCGGTGATGGTGTGTTTGTTGTTGTTTGTAGTTTTGGGCGCTGCCTGGCGTTGCGTGCCGTGCGTGGCAGCGCCGCTCGCGCGCGTATGTGCGTGTTAGCGCGCGCTGCGTGATGTATAATAATCATATGCATTTTTCAAGTACCATATTATTGAATCTGATATATCTTACCCCTATACATACAGGACACAGACATGGGGAGTATACGTGCGTTGCGCGCCGCGGCGTGCCGAATGCAGCATCTTTATGCGATTATACAACGTAAATACAACTACCATCTAACTAAATAATACGGAGAACAACAACCCGTTAAATATGGCTGTTTGCATTACTATTATCACTTATTAATTCAGTGGCGCATTAATCGAAGTGTAAAGACAACGGGATTATTGGAACTAACACGCATACTGCATGCTCCGCTGTAGCTCTGAGTACTATACCCGCCCCCGCCCGCATGGCCTGCGGCAAGCTGTACGCGGGCTAGTACTTAGAGTCTAGAGCTACCTCCGCTAGCTGCTGCCGACTCCACCCCCACAGATGTATTACGGCGCTCCCCGCAAAAACCTTCGGCCTATATACGCTTGTTAAACGCCAGCATACTAGGATGTGCAAATAGACGGCAGTATGCAGGACCTCCACAAACTGCTACCGAGTTTACGAATTCTCTCTGGATCAACGCAATCAGAGGCCAGAGAGAAAGAGAGCGAGAGCGCGGCGACGAGGAGACTATGAAGAGAGTAAATCTATCGCTCCAGCCGCTAGCTTAGTGTTCAGAGGGCGGGATGCAGGATTTTGTCTAAGGGGGGTGCAGGTGGGAAAGGGGCACTTTGAGATTTTTTGAGGGGCAGACTGAAGCGGCGGCCGGCGCAGGCCGCTTTCGTGCCGAGGACCGCGCAGGTGCGAAGGAACGGTTGCGGGGGTCGAGGGGTGCCTCCCCAGAAATTTTTTTTAAAAATCAGACTCCGTTTTTTATGCGATTTTTCAGAGCATATGAGGCGAAATTGTTTGTACTTCGAAGTCTTGTGCATTAGCAATGAACAGACATTCCAGTACAGCAGGCAAAATCCAACAAAAGCCACAAAAATCATAACTCTGCTTGAAATTAACTGCCATCAGAGCGACAAATACTAGTTACCCGGTGATCAAACTGCGATATGGATTGAACACACTTTTATTAGCAACTAAGAAAATTTAATTATCATTACATTGTATAAGTTTATATGCTTTCCGTTTCTACACTTTATATTAAAACTTGAACTGAAAACTTGAATTTCAAGTGACTGATATTATATATCTTACGTTAAAACGTACTCAGTATTATCTTGTCACAGAGGGCGGTGTACAGGATTTGTACCAGGGAAGGGTCCAACCGTCAAATAACCCAAACTTGGGAGCCGCGAAGGTGGGGGGTCTGGGGGGTGGCCCTCCCCACCAAAAATTTTTGAAAAGATTAGACCCCTCAGATGCGTTTTCTTGCGCGAGCAGGGTGGGGCGTCCGGACGCCCATGGACCCCTCACCGCCGCGTACACGGCCCCTTGCCATAGTAGCTTACTTATTTACCAAATTTAGACCAAATGAGTGGGCTCTTGCCAGAGAGATATAGTAATATACTGACTAAGTACAGTTTTAAGTAAAAAAATGCAAAGATAACATCGAAAACTATTCAGAATGAAATTATTGAAGCCAAAATTTAGAGGGGGGTTATCTGTCCAGACATCGCGTACTAAACAGCAGGAATTGCTTCCGACAGGATTGGAGCGCATTTAAAAAAAACCCCGCCCACTCCTCGCGGCATACGCTATGCTAGACGGGTTAGGAACTGTACTAACTATCATATGGAGCGAACGATTTGACGTTACATTTCTATAATTGCTAGCTAATTATAGACACATGTCCTAGCCTTAATCTCTGCTGAATTTTGCAGTCTAAATTTTCAAGGCGCTGATTAGTCCTAATTAATTAGCAAATATGCACGCGCGGCTATGACCACGTGAAACCGAAACGTCGACGAGTTCTATTTTTATCCTCCAAAATATGGAAAAGTGGCGCCGAGGTCTATTTTTATCCTGCCAATCAGCAGGTCGGAGCAATTCCTCTGTTTAGACGCATGTTCAACGCCGTACGAAAGGAATTTTCTGTAGGCGGGGCAAAGGTAACTCCCCATGCCCCCTGCTGCCCTAAAGTTTTGCAGATTTTCAATTTCTATTATTAACAGTATATTCTTTGATGATGTTAAGATAACCTTTTGTCACATTTCTATTTGAATTTCTAAAACAGTGGTACAGTATTTTGTCCCATTACAAAGATACTCTCGGAAAATCTTAGGCGCCGGGCAACTGCCCCTGCTGCCCCCTGCTGCGTACGGCCCTGCTCATGTTACCCCAGACGAGGGTTACCAGTCGTATACAAAGCAATCAACGGTGGTCGCAGCCTGGCGGCGATCTGTGTCGCAGCCCAGAAAAAACAGAGTCAGGTCGGCCCCCCGTCCTGTGCGCCCGCCCTAAAAACTTCCTCGGAAAACATCAACTTATTTTTCAGTATTTTTTTCTGCCTTAAAAATCTATATTATTTTTTAAAAAGATGGAGAAAAAAAAATTCCGTGTGGGCCGGAAAAAAAATGGAACTCAAAATTTTTAGGCGGGGGGGGCGCGCCACCCCCCCCCCTGGGATCCGCCCCTGGTAGTGTACTATACCCCTGAGTACAATAAACCTGCCGCAGGCAGCCTGCGGAGTTACTGTACGCGGGTTATAGTACGAGAGCTAGCTCCAGCAAGCTGCGCTTTGGAAGAGAGTTGGACGATCATTGCAAGTCGCCTAGGTTGCCAGCCCCGTCGTCTGAAAGCGCGATAAGTTATTTATTATCTGTAAGCGAGCAAAGGTCACACGCCCGGGAAGGGGTGCATGACGATGCAAGAAATCGGTGATTGGTGTGAAGTGCGTAACCGAGGAGCGGGCGATGTCAGCGGTCGACACGGAGGTCAAAGAGAGCCGTGACTCGAGAGATTGGCGCGTCTAGCTGGAAGCCCGTCATGAAGTCCGAATCCTTGCGCTTGTGTGGACAGCTAGACTGACAATTGATCTATGACATCAGGGCGCCAGAACCGGGACCATCGGAGTCCCACGCCAAGTTCGCACGCGCCCCCACACCATATTCGGTTTGTAAGATAGCAGTGAAATCCTCACTCCACCGCATTCGCGGAAGGTCCGGTTGGTCAGAAAGGGCGGCTAAATGGCGGATCTGTATAACGTAAGGGAAGAAACCGCGATCGCCAGGACCGGGGCGCGCCGTATTAAATAGCGGAATAAAGCCACCGCTTCTCGGGACGGCTTCTTGCTGCAGCACCCGTGAGGAAGGTGTAGTGGTGTAAGTAACCGCCTCTTGCTTTGGTAGTGCACCGGATACTTCAATGTATTGTAATTTAGAGAGTTGGAGGTAATACAATGTGAAACGTATACTTCTTGTCTTGTTTTATCTCTATCAGTCGATTACAGACCTTCTACTACGGTAGTGCGAATCAAACGCCTACATTATTATCATTATCATGGCGACACAGCACACTCGCAGTGGCGAGTGCGGGAGCGTTCGGCCAGTTAGTTTTTATGAGGAAAGTTGATATTACAGTGAAACAACAGATTGGAACTGTAATTTGAGATGTAGGGCCTACGTAGTTAATTTGTGACAGGTCATATTCATTTCTCACGTTTTACTGACTCTGGTCCCAAGCTGCTGGTGCCTTTTCCCTAGACAAAATAGTGCAACGCGGCGAACAATTTGGGCATGATTATTGTGTTGATTGCTGTAATACAGTAAACACCCGCATAAAAGAAACTGCGGATTAAGAATCCTCCAGGCTGAAATTGGACCAATTAAGCACCTAGTATATAAGAACCACATTCAGCCTGATAATATTAAGCAGGGTTTTATATGGAAAAAATACCCGAAAATGTTAGAGCAAACTGGGATTGGCAATCCAAGTATGTGATGCTACACCATTAAAAACCAATCAATCATTGTCAGTTCATCGTCAATGACATCAACAGTGTCAAATTTATTCACTAATAAAGCCAATTTTAGCTAATAATGTACAACAATATCCCCCTCCCCAAATTTAGAAACCTTCTTAATTAACCTCTTCAGGCTGAATTTCTCACTATGTATCAACAGTATCATATATATAAGAAACCAGCTTCAGCTGAAACAGAAATCACGGGTTCTTTTATGCGGGTGTTTACTAATGAGTTATTGCACCGTGCGGTAGGACAACTTGCGTTGATACCACAAAACCAATCTCTCTTTTAATGCGTTCTAGACGTGCACGGGGCTTCTACCTTGCTGGCATCATGCAAATTATTGCACTCTAGTTCCTAATTTTACCGAAAATTCAAAGGAAAGCCTTTTCCCTAGACAAAATAGTGCAACGCGGCGAACAATTTGCGCATCATTATTGATGTATGCCACCTATAGGTAAACGAACTGTCACTGTAGTTACTAATACTGATAAATGTGTGTCAAGTTCACTGAACTATAACATATATTGTTATAGTTCAGTGGTCAAGTTACTAGCGACGAGAGAAGAATACGCGGCCGTCCGCTTGCCGGCGCGCATGCGCGATGACCTGCTGACGTTGATAATGACGTCACGATGACCGTAACCTGATCACGTTAACGTTTATCGTTTACAAATACAATAAAAACGTTTTTGACAAACGTTTAGAAAACGTTATAAACACCCTACACATTTACGTTATATAAACGTTACAAAACACGTTATAACTCGTTTTTACGTTGTTTGAGTTTGCACTTTCTTGGCGCGTTCTCCCAACTTGCACCAGAGCGCGAAATGTTCGCAGTTGTTACAAAACAGGTTGTAACCGCCATCTCCGATCCGGCTCTCCGCTCGCTCAATCACCGTATCCGGCGAGTCGCTCTCCTCCGTTGTAGACGTGCCTCCAAACTCGTACCATATATCCCACATGCTCATACCGTAGAGGTAGATCTTAAGATCGCCACCATCTAGGAATACGTCGAGGGTAGCTCTGCGTATTGCCGCGTTGGCTTTGTCGCCAGCATTTGCGCCACTGAAGTGGATGACTCTTCTGCCGTCCCAGATGCCATGGTGTTTGTAGCCGGTACGCCTCACGTAAATGTGGTCGCCTCTCCTCAACTCGCCTTCACTGATGTCATGAAACAGCGGCATCTATACAACATACAGCAAACAGTCAGCGGTTCCACATAGTGATTGAGTGTGTGAGAGATAGGACGTCAGTTTGTTAATGCCTCGAAGATATAATGCCTCGTCTCCTTCTCATTACTTACTTCAACAGTGAGATGATATGCGTTCAACCCCAGCTACTCTAGCACCCGGGAATTTAATGCAGGGTTTAAAGATTAGGTTGGGATTATGCTAGCTACTCGGTTAGAGGGGTTAGAGTTAGACCGTTACGGTTGAGGTACGAGATTGAATTATGCTTATGATTTATGTACCACCTATAACTAAAGATAAAAGCTCTAAATAGCGATAAAAGCAACTATAAAAGCTCTCTGCTTAGCATTCAGCAAAGAGAGATAGAGTGTGGCAAGCTAACTCGCAGTGCTACCATGCAGTGGACTAACCCCTTACTGTAGCATTTACTGTGAAAGCAGCTGCGGGGTCTCAGGGTTACTG